CAAAGCACACATTGAGGAAGAATTGAAACTCATTCTGCCAACTCAAGCTTCATTTACTCCAGTAATAAATCAAGACATCTGTGTCAAAGCCAATGTAGTGTGAAATGGACTGAAGATAAGCCTTGCAATCCAATCAATACTGTCTCCTAAATACCAGGATCTTTTCAAAGGGATGCTTCATTGCACATTTATCTATATCACTATTAAAATTTCTATACGAGTATTTGTGCATGCTTTCTCTTTGTTCTAATTTCTGTCAAAAGATTCTGAATTACTCAGCAGGGAAGATTAAAATTAAGACAGAATTATCTAGATTATTGCTTTTGAGCAGGATTGTTTCTAAAATATCACAGGGCAGAAAAATGAAAATATATTGTATAATGAAGTTTTACTGTAAATGTTCATTTCCTCAGAGTTCAGTAGACCAAGGGCCAGTGTTCAACTTGCAGCAATAAATTGTATTCAGACTAGAATCTGGTAGGAAGAAGAAATATCCCGATGTGGTGGGGTGCACCTGTAGTTCCACCTATTTGGGGTGCTGAGGTGGAAGGGTCACAAGTTTGACCCCAGCCTGGGCAACTTAGCGAGACTGTCTCAAAATATGATAGAAGAGGTTTGGCGATATAGCTGAGTGCTCACTGGGTTCAATTTCTAGTACTGCAAAAAAAGAAGAAGAAGAAAGCAACAAAGAAAATTAAGGAAGGAAAAAATAAGGAAAGAAGGGAGAAAGAGAAAAGGAAATATCAATCAGAGTACAGACAGCTTGTAATCCCAGCCCTAGGATTTATTGCTGAAAGAAGGCCCTGTCTCTTTCCTATCTCTAAGCTCCTAGCTCTTCTGAAATCCCAGTGCTCCCTAGGAAAGGCCCACATGCCCACTCTGTATGTACATTTTCCACACTGAAGTCATTCGACAGAAAAATGAATGTTTACAGACAAGCTGAGGTAGATGAAGTGCTTGAATCTTCTTATTCCATTAAACAGTCTCGCTTCTTTTCTGGATCATAGATGAACAGTTATGGTAGAGTCTCAGAATTGAAAAGACCTCAGAGAGCATGTAAGACACGCGAGCTTTGTTCAAAAAGTTTGTAAAGGCCATGTAGCTAGGTAGTCTAGTTAGTCGACAGAAGCAATCTCCTTTTCTGTCTCTTGAACACCAGCATCAGTGAACTTTACTCTAAATAAAAACTTTGTACAAAGATCTAATGCACTTTACAGATTTGTATTTCAGACACTGGTTTCATTTTAAGGAATAACAATCCAAGACACAGAAAGTTTGGAACTGCATTTTTTTCTAGTCCACTACATAGGACCTGCCTAGAAAATAGACCTATACCTCAACTCCTCCATTCATTAAATTAATGAACAATGTACCTCACTCCTTCTCGTACAAACCTCTGTGGACTCGCTGTGTGCCTGGCTCATTCTCCCTGTTTTCTAAACTATGAGCACTCCTAGAAGTTGATGAAGAGAATTCAAAAAAGAGATTGAATTGAGGATGTATGGTGAAACAGAATGGAAAAAAGGAAGACCAAAACAGAGAGGTAAAATTTGGGAGAAATTTAAAGCTATAGGTGAAAATGTTTTGGGGTTTGTGAAAAATGGCATTTCTGGGTAAATTTTAAAAATATATTCTCTACCAATTTTCTAACACCAATTAGCTATCAAAAAATCACTGCTATCCTAAGCACTCAGGAGGCTGAGGCAGAAGGACTGCAAGTTCAAGGCCAGCCTAGGTTATAAAATGAGACCCTGTCTCAAAAAAAAGTCACTGCTATTTTAAGATATAAAATATGTAATCTGACAACCCAGTTTTTTTTTTAATATATGGAGATTTCCAAATAGGTAGAGTTTTTTTGTTTTGTTTTTTGTTTGTGTGTTTGTTTTCCTTTTTTGAGTTGTATCTGTTATCTTCATTTTGGTACCTTTAGCTCTCAAGTCAAATGCTGACAGTTCCTTGGGTCCCCACTGAGGAGCAGTAGATCATGAAATTTAAGAGATGTTAGGAGAGCCTGTGGTCCCAGACCATGGAACATTTCTGACTCACACTGCCAAAGAACCAAAGGAAATGTTAGTCGTCAGTTGGCACCACCCTCAGCTGGAACTCCATGTCCTCCAAATTCAGGCCTTTGTCGCTTCTAGAAAGTTGGTTGTAGTTGTTTACACAAAGCCAGGTCACTGGACTTGCTGTTCCTGCGGGCATTTCTCCCACCCTCTTCCCTAGAGAAATGAGGGGATCAGCATCAAACACCAGGCCCCAGGAAATGTTGAGTTACCTTTCTAGGAAATCTCACCGGCTAGAAAGAGAAGGAGAGGAAGCTGAGAGGGCTGGGCTCCTGGTGAACACTTGGGTCCAGCCCTAAGCTGGTGCTTCATAGTCTTGAGTCCTAGAGTTGGTGACATCTATAGCATCCATCTGTCTCCTCATCGTGAAATGGGGATGGTAGCCAGGTGTCACTGCACAGTTTTGAGGTTTTAATAAGAAGAAATAGTGCAAAAGAAGCCTTCTAGGTCATAGAGTGCTACCATTATATCTACGAATGCCCAGACATATAAATTAGAAATTAAGAGATTTGCTGCCCTCCCTTCTTATGATACATGGATGTCAATAATTAAGTCAATAATTTTCACTCTGGAGCCCATGAGGTTTTAACAGTGAGAGAGTAAATTTACCACTTTGGAGCACAGCAAAGAACAAAGCTTACTGGTAACATCCAGATTCTTCTGTTGGGAAAGCTCACAGAAGGACCTGAACACTATGATATGTATATAGGAATAAAATTTGTTTACATGTATCCAGCACTTCACTTTAATAGCTATAATTGACCACGTTGTTTTCAAGTTCCTACTGTGAGTAACCAAGGTCTCACTATTTGTACTTGATAAGTAAATGTTTTAATCAGCCTTTTGATACTCATATGGTTCAATTTTCAAATATGAAAGTACTGTGTAATTCTCCATAACATTTCAAATGGAAGGGGCACCTTAATCTACTCAAAGGTGGACAGATGAGAAAACTATCTTTGTTAACTTTGCTCCTTTTTCTAATACTCAATAACAGCAAGGGCCATCTGGTTAACAATAGCCTGAAAGCATTGGAAGTACTTGTGCATCTGAAGGAGTTAATTTCATAACTCCCATCTCTGCCCATTGCAGAAGGAATCACATGTGACCATCAAGGTCAAGGATAAGCTTTTATAGCCCGACTTCCTCCCCAGGCCTTGGGGTCACTCTATACTTGGACCTCTGACTCCATGGGTTCCCTAGTCCTGCCTGGCATCCTACTGATCTTGCTTCTCCACTTCTCTCCCTCAAGACAGAACTGCTGAGGGTCCTTATCACCAGCCCAACACTCTGTTACACAAATCTCCATAGCAACCGTGAAGCAGGTGGCAGGACCAGGGTTTTCAAGATGGGAAAGCTGAGACTCTTAGAGACTTGCTCAAGGTGAGCATTTGGACTTGGGGCTTCTGTCTTTTCCGGGATTCGATAACCTTCAGGTAGGATGGATGTCTGGGTGTGCAGTTACACAGGAGGCCAAATAAGGCTGCCAAGGCTGAGATCCACAGTCCTGGGCCAATTCCCAAAGCACCTTTCCCTAGAGAAATGGTAGCAGCTCTGAGGTTTTGGGCTACATCCCCAAAGAAGTGGGGAGGGAGGGAGGAAAGATGGGGTTTTCAGGCCATCGGAGCAGCATCAAAATACACAAACAATGACCGTGTGACCCTAATCCAGAGACAGGGCAGTGATGCACAAGTATGTCATTCCTCTTAAGTCCCTGTAGGAAATGAGAGCTATGAGAACTAAGATGGAATGTAAATTATTTCTCAAGGAAGTATGCTAGCTCTCTTCTTTTAAAAGCTTCCCTCTGGAGGAAGCTCAGAATCAATTTTTCTCCCTGGGTCTTAACTATAGTTATGTAGGCCCTCTGCTAAAAAACAAAAAAAAAAAGGGAAAGAGGGAGGGTACAGCAGCATATAGAAGACAGGGACAGGATCTGGATGAAGCAACATCACCTCCAAGTCCGAGGAAAGGCCCACGTTGATGCTGTGAATTTCATACAGTTCTCGGTACCTTCCCAGCAACCCCAACAGCCCCTTCCCTCCCACCTTTAGCATCCACCCACCCACACAAAAAGTGTGCAAGATGTCCATGCTGCTAGGAAATGGAATCTGAGAGCATAATTTTAAATTTCATACACTTGTTTGGAGAGTAATATACATGAGCTGGATGGTGAGGACAGGTCAGAAATACAGAGAACAAGATGCTAGCAAAGACCCGGCATGACTGTGCTCAGGGCCCAGGCCCTGCAGACAGCACTGGGCTGCTTTCCCTTCCTGATGGGATTTGGGGCTCACGCCTGGAAATGCATGTCCACTTGGTGATAGGCGGAAGAAGGGTGTGGATGTGGGCCCTAGGAAATGAAGTGGCCGAGGATGGAGGTCCAGTATTCCAAGGCTGTGCTCCAGTTCTGGAAATGGCACAACTTACTGAAGCCTCCCTTCTTGTCCCTGAGTTTACCTTGGAAAACAGGTTCACTTTTGCCTAATCACATCTTGACCTCCTCATCTGAAGTTGGAGATTTCTGAATGGTGATGAGAATTAAAGGGACAGGAGAAGACAAGGAGTGTATGGCCGGCACATCACAGGGACACCAGAACATCTGGGTACCTCCTCGTCTTGCCCTCTTGTCTTCCCCTAAAAGTTTACACTTCTTTACTCAACTCTTTCTCTCCCTCCTTTGGCAGAAATCCTGGGAAATAGTTATTCTTTGCAAATAAAATGTTGCAAGAGGCTGGAAAGATGGCAGAGCATAGAGAAAAGAGCTAAGAGCAGGTGGGGCTGTGGAAAACTGTGTGGCCGGGACCTCGGCCATCCCAGCAAAGTGGAGACCTAGGGTCAGATCTGGGAGCCCCGCTGGGCACGTCTGTCCCTGTCTGCATCCTCTGTGCTGAGAGAGTGGCTGGAGCCTGGGACTCAGGCACACACATGGGTTCTTACCTGGAGCGGCAGAGTGGCTGGCGGGGCCGGGTAGCTCCTGCTGGTCTGAATGGCCGGGCAGTATCTGCAGAGCTGTACCCTTGTCGCACGTACTATCGTACCTGGTTCCTCTCCATAGCTTTCTGGGAGTCTCTGAAAGGTCTGGGCACCTCCTCTCAGCATGGCCCTTTGGCCCCTGTCAGCTACAGGGCCCGGGGTGGCTTGTGGAGGTGGGCATCCCATGGCATTCCTGGACAGGGGGTCCATGCCCCACAGGTCCTGGGGGCCGGAAAGAACTGGCCAGCGCTTCCAGTCCACGGAGGGTGTGCTGCTTCCATGGCTCATGACAGGAGCTGGGTTAGGGAGCCCGCATGACAGTCCAAGTTTCCTAGACACAGGGGCCAGGCAACGCCCACAGTGTGGGGATCCGCAGACACCACACCTTTTTACATCCCTGTGCTCCTGCTGGCGCCGAGATTCTCCCTCTCCCTCCTTCTTCTTCGGTGAAAAGCAACTGAAAGCCGCTGGCTCCTCTTTCCCAGGGCCGTCTTCATGCAGCAGGCTCGAAGAGGGAGCAGCTAAGCCCTGTGTGCGCCTGAGGTCCCAGCCTGCCAAGAAGTCTGTCTTGGGACTTGGGGAAACGAGTCCCTCCTCCAGACCCCCTGGGGCCGCCCTGGAGGCTGCAGCTGCGGGAGACTGGGCGGAGAGAGCTCGGGCAGGGGGGGCCTGCAGCTGGATGAAGAGGAAGGAAGTTTTCAGCTGCTGTTGCCTGGGCTGCTCAGCCATTTCCTCCTCTAAGCGGGTAGGGCTGGTCCTTGGCAGGGTCAAGTTTCAGACCTCAGTGCCCAGGGATGCAAAGAGCAGACGAGGTGGGCAGACATGACTCAGCCCCATGGTTCCCCGGACAGCCTGAGGAGGCAAACAACACACCTTCAGCACCCAGGGGAGTCTCCAGGGAGGGCCGTGGGGATGGTGTCTGTCTGGAACTGGACTTTGCTCACTTCCCAGAATCACAGAAGCACACAGATGGGTGGAGAAACATCTGCAAGAGAGTGTGGGAGAGGGGCAGTGAAGACCTGGCGGCTCTCACCTGTGTGGGTCTAGAAGGAATTCCTGTTTCTTAACTACACCTTTCCTCGTGTTTGAAATGGAAATACTACTCATTTCATTGTTCAGGCCTAGGTTTTGTGTTAACTGTAACAGTGACTTGGGGTCTCACCTGTCAGACACTATGTCCTTTAGAAATGAAGCACACTTCAGAAATGAAGAATACTTTGAATTGAATCTACTCTGACTGTATTATTTTCTCTACCTTGAAGACCTCTCTGATAAAAAACATAACCGCTGTAAACCATTTCAATGTTTTGAACATTGAAGAGCTCCGCTCTTTGAAGACTGGTGATTCAGGAGTTCTCCAGGAAGAATCCCACAGTTACATCTCAAAACACTCTGCTTGGACCTGTGGTTTAAGCAAGTCCCCTTCAAAATTCAGGTGTTGCCAATTTAATGGTATCAGCAGGTGGGGTCTTTGGACAAGGGCTAGGAGGCCTCCTCCCCCGTGAATGGATTAAGACTCTTCTAATGGAGGCTTCCTGTGACATTCAGTAGCTTGTCCTTCTGCCTTCCCCCACGTGTGGGTGCAGCAAGACCCTACCCAATGCTGGTGACTTGATCCTGGACTTCACCCTCCAGAACTATGAGAAATAAATTTCTGTTCTTTATAAACAGTCTGCTCTGCATTATTTTGCTATAACAGCACAAAACAAACTAAGATACTTGGCCCCACCAAAAGAAGAAATAATAAAGATGAAAAAGAAAAAAGAAGAGAGAAGAAAGAAAGAAAAACACGTACAGGTAATACATTACCCTAGAGGGCGTTTAAAAGATTTAGCCTTTTTTACTTGTGAGACAATAGCATTCCTTTGCTTTTAAAAATGAGGACCACTTCTTTCCAGCACAGAATAACAGGTAATTGAAAAGTATAGCCGAATAAAAGCACAACAAAAGGAAATTGAGAACTCACCTGCATATTCAGTTGAGTATCTCACATTCAGAGTGCTTCCCTGGGCTCAGTATCTCTCTCAGTGGACAAGAACCTTAGTGCTGACCTTGTTCTGGGGGAGGAAAGAAGAAAGGGGTGAGAAAGCACTTGCCTTTATCAATGTGAAATACCTTGACTAAAAGAGGACACGGAAATCGTCCTCTGAGACAGTGAGTACGAAGCCCAGGACGTTCCTTCCCCTCGCCATAGCTCCTGTGGAGCCTGAGCTATTTCTCCCTCCCTGGCTCCCCACCATTCTGCACCTGGGCAGCAACTGCAGCCTTCCAAGGAGGCCTTGGCTGTCACTGCTGCCCAGGCAGAGTCTTTGGATGTGCTCAGCGTGGCCAAGTGGGGTCCTAAGTCAATTCTCTTTTTAAAAATGTTCTCACACTGTTTTTTCATTCAAGGTTATATAACTAGCCCTCGTAGGCTAAGGAAAGCCACTGTGACAATCATAACCAACACTAATACACGGGAATCTCCGCCAAAACAAAACTATGCCCATGCTTAATTGCATGTTGATAGATTATACTCATTTTCATCACTATGTAAATGATATCATCTCTTTTTATGTGAGGTTCACATCTTTTTAATGTAATTCTCACACCGTCCTATGGAAGAACTTGCTTTTAAGTCGTAATTGCTCAACAAATACTAGTTTGTTGACAAGTGAACTGCCAAAAATGAGAGGTGTTGTGTTTTCAAATAGAACAGGGATGTGGTGAGAAGGAATCATTTTGTTTCAGCCCCCAGAGGTGCTGAGAACATTGTACTGGATACTTCAGGTAGCACCTTCCGGGCAACACAGCAAGGGCCTCCGGCTCTGGCAGTGCTCAGGGAGGTGAGGTAATTGCCTGATGCCTTTTTTTCTTTCTTTAAAAGAAGAGGCATAGAGGGACTTATTAGGCAGAATTTTAAAAGTACACACTCAAAGAAGCAGAGTGCTGGCCCACATGTGAAAGGCATACTTTAGTTGTAGGTAGGGACATTTTTGTGCTTGGGTGGGGGGCCTAAAATCTGCTGAATTTGTGATTCTATAGAAAATTTGGGCTTGGTTTTCAGAAAAAAGCTGATGGCCCATCCACAGGTAGAAGGACAACAACTCATTTCATAGGGGAAAGGCACAGGTCCAGCCTGTTGGCTTTTTTTTTCTTTCTTTCAGTACCAGGGTCGAGCTCGGGAGGGACCTTGTCCTTTCGAGGCAGGCAGCAGAACCACTGAGCTAAATCCTGGCTTGTTTTCTTTTCTTTTTAAAGGTGCGTACTCTAGGATAGTTTGCCTAAAAACATTCTTGGAATGTTTGAAATCTTTGAGTCTGTTTCTTTATCTTTTGAGGACAACTGGCCCAAGTAGGCATGGGCACTAAAGAGCTATGAGGTGAGAAGTTTCTTTTGAACTCCTTGTCTCTTTCCGACTAGAAGTTCAGTTGTCCTATTTCCAAAGAAAAGAAAGCACCAAAGTCACCAAGGTGGTGGTAGGGGTATATCCAGCACCCTTTTCTCTCCTTGCTTCCTTTGCATTTGTGGGCTTATTATAGGGGCGGTTACTGCCAAGTATTTCACTTCCAGGTCGTGTGGGCTGGAATAGGAGAAGTACACAGCAGACGTGGATGACATTTAAGTGTCCACAGGTGAGCTGCCTTTGAGGACACATGTAAGACAACTCTAAATATTAGGGGACATAAAGGGGTTAGAGTTTTTATGAGAAGTGGGGGCAAATGCCAGAGAACATGCATTACTGCTATAGCATAAATAGTGCAGTGATTAAAAGCAAGCAATTTGGTGCCAGGCAGATATTTCTCTGAGTTCTACTAACACTGGCGGCTGTGTGACCATGCCCAAATTACTTAACCTTTCTGATGATTAGTTTCCCCAAAGATTAGGTAACAATACCTGTGTCACAGGGCAGTCATCAGGTTTAAGTGGAGGTATATGTAAAAGGCTTATGTAAAACGGCACTGTACTTGGCATATAATAGGTTCTCAATAACTATTAGCTACTCTTAAAATTTGTACTTACACATTTTTTTGTACTGGGGATGGAACTCAGGTCTTTCCACTTGCAGGACAGGTGGCAGAACCATTGAGCTAAATCCCTGGACCCAATGTACTCACACATTTTTAAGGCCTTGGGAAAATTGATTCACTCAGGCAAACAGCAGGAGTTGTTTTATAAAACACGCATGTACATGAGGTGTGATCAAAACACACAGAGAATGTTTAAATTTTTAAAAAAATGATTATAGCAATAGACACTTAGCCATTAATCCTCCTCAAAATACTCTCCCTTGCTTTGAATACATTTATGCCACTGTTTTTGTCACTTTCTGAAGAAGTTAAGGACATCTTCTTTTGAGATTGTTTTTATGATGTGATTAAAAAAAAAAAAAAGACCTGGTGAGTATTGCTTCTGAGTGACATCTCGCAGAAAAGCAGGTTCATAAAAACACTGTGTTGTGTCCTCATCCACTGTATTCATCTGCTCTGGCACTGTGTGACTTCTAATCTTCCCCAAAGTCAAAATGACCATAAAAAGTAAGTATTTTGAATCAATTCAGGACATCAAGGCAGCCACAATAGCATAGCTAAGTAAGGATACTCACAAAAGCGGACATCCAGCGCTGTTTCAGAAGATGGTAAGGTTGATGGGATAAGTTTGTTCAAATCAAGGGAAATATTTTGAGGGGGATTAATGACAATGTGTCTTTTACTATAGTAAAGGTTTTAAGATTCACACCTTAATTGTAGTTTTCAATCATGTATAGTTTTTTCCTCAGCAGTGGGTAATCACATGAGTGTTTTTATGCTTCCTGTCTAAACAGTAAACATCTGAAAGCTGAGGAATTAACTGGAATGTGGGAGTGTCAGTAATGGACATGATGTCAGGAGACTTGGCTTTGAATTCTGCAGCAAACAGCTATTAACTGTGACTCACAGCAGGTCTCTGAGCCTAGGTAACTTACCTGTAAAAATGCTAAATACATTTCTGCTCTTTTTACCTTACAGAATTGCTTTGGAAATCAAGGAGCATAATCTGTGTAGCAGCACTTTGTAAATACAAATTTAAGTTGTATAATAATTTCATTAATAATAATCCTTAACTAAATCATTGTGTGATTTCTCTTAAGAAGCAGGCCTTCTCACTCTGAAAGATTTCCATGTTTACTTCTTGTTTTTCTACCACAACTTCGCTATTCATAAAATGCGAATGCAAACAACAGACAGCATAAGCTGCAATCCACTTCTGCTAATGATTTCTTCCCATGGCTTCCAGAGAGTTGAGGAACATTCTAGAATCTAGAGTGGAGAGAGGGTGGGCATTCTGGAAATGTATCAGAGCATTCTCTCCTCTCACTCCTACTTCATGACAACCTTGGCAAGTAGGCGGCACGCTCGCTCTTCCTTTCAGAAATGCAGAAAGAGGAGAGGGAGATGGAGTACCTTGCTTGAAGCCACATAGAGAGGGCAGTGGTTGGTACTGGTGTTAAGTCTGGCTCTTTCCACTGCTGCTGTGTCCTTCTTGTCTGTCCTTCCTGTCTCTAACACTGGTACCCAGGAAGGCTTCACCCATCCACAAGTGTTGCCGCTGCTCATCTGAGAATCTTCTCTCAGTTGTTTCTCTAACATTTCTAAAAGTTTACTTGATTCAAACTAGTATAAAAATGGTACCTTCTCAGGACATGTTGCTCGAATAGAAGAAAATGACTTCTCTCCAAGGTGCGGTTGTTCTAGTGAACAAGTCTTAGAGGCCTAAGCCCCAGGAAATCCCAAGAATTCTGGAAATATTTCATTGAGTTTTAAGTCAGGCTCACATTCCATCTCCTAATTCTCATCCATTCTCTCACCGCTGGAAGTTAGACTGAGCCCTCCAAAGTCACTGTGCCCAGTTTTGTTGGGACAGGTTGGCCATTCAGTCTGAGAAGATGAAACAGGGGTTCTAGCTACAGCTCTCTCCTGCTATAAGGATTATGTTTAGAAAACGACTGCTTTCTT